AATGAAAGTCCTGTCATGACAACTTTGTTCAGATCAGCCTTGGTGAGTGCAATGCCAACCCCAGTGCGAGAAAAACTGGAGGATGTGGTAGCACTGAACACAAAAAGCCATGCAGAGTTCCGTGAATATGTGGTCCATGCAGTTGAGAAATATAAAAAGGACATGAAAAAGCTGCACGACGCAGACCTGAATGCACAAAGGAAGCTGACACAGCTTCACATCAGTGAACTGCAAAACAAAACAAAAGAAAAGACTCGGGCTCCTGTGATACAGCCAAACACCAACAACATGGCTGGATATAATGGAACACAAATGCAGCCTTCCCAAACAACAGTACCAGTGGGACTTTCTGCACCTGTCATAAATGTCTACCCAGGACAACAAGGTGGACCTAGTGGAGGGAGAGGTCCCTCCTACCTACAAAACTGGCGAAGACAAAAAGGCACAGTTTTGGGACCATGTTGGGGATGTGGTCAAATGGGACACAGGCTGAAACAATGTGGAAATCCAGCCCAAAACCCTGCCTGGACGGGGCGTGGCCGGGGGATGAGGTTTAGTCAGGGTAGGCCCAGAGGGCCAGTTAATCCATTTGCAAAACAACAAGGATTCTAGGGATGCCCAGAGGATCCCATTATGAGGTGTGAACTACCAATTTTAACCCAAAATTCAGATACTGACCCAATGGTTGAAGTAAAAATAGAAGGAAAATCAATACCAATATTAGTTAACACAGGGGCGTCATTCACTTGTGTAAAGTCAGAACACGCTGAACACCTCAAAATGTCAGACAAATATATCAGGACAGTGGGATTCTCGGGGAAAAAACAAATGAACCAAATTGACGGCTCCAGTAATTTTGACAGTAAATCAAACTAAAATTAAAATGCCAATTTTAGTATCAGACCAAACTCCTATAAACTTATTRGGAAGAGATGCATTGTGCAAACTAAAAGCAAAAATATGSTGTTCTCCACAAGGAGTCTATGTAGACAGTTCTGGATTAGATTTTCAAATGCGTACACAGACTGAATATGCAAATATTTATTGACTGGGAAACATAACAAAACCAATATCAGAAACTTTTAAGAAATGGGAAAAATACATTAAAGCACAACTTCCAAATGCGAGCAATCCAATGAGTGACTATCATTGTACTATGTACTTTGACCCATCATGTAGCAAAGTATTTGAAGACAAATGGAACTGTAGAGGGGTGAAAAATGAGCTCTTAGTAAATAAAAATAATAAGTAAGGAAATAGGCATCCCAACATAATTTTTATTTTTTTTTAGTTAGTCCTATGCAATTCCACACACAACCGCTAGGGGGCACTGCCGCGTTGGTTGGCATAGAGAAGATTGAGCACACAAGAAGAATAAATCTTCAGGTTGAATGTGAAGGAAGCTYAACGTGTGTGTCTCATCTTTCTCATACCACAGGTCAGTAAAAATGTGTTTTATACATATACATTTGTTTCTGGGAAGAGTTGAAAAGGTTCTTGAATCGACTCTCAACTAATGAGTCGTGAAGTTTGCTTTGTAATTGTTATTGTGTAYGAAAACGGGACTTGTTCATGAAAGCTAATGGGAGCTAATGCTAGCGGGCCTTTACACGTGTGAGAGCTAGCTGAGAAGCTAGCTGAAGGACAGTGGAGTTCATTTGTACTTGTTGTTTTTTGCACTTTTTGAGAGTGTTCTCACTNTAATGATCAAAATACAAATAAAGAACATTATTATTTTGTTTATTATCTTGATTAAAGAAAATAAAATGAAATAAAATTTCTCTTTACTGTTTAAGAAAACATGTTATGACTATAATTCAAACAGAGTTCTGTTCTTTAAAGAAGGCCTTCGGAGGTCAATGTCAAAGACAGGTGGAACGTTTATTCCACACCTAGGTGACCACTACAACAGGAAAATGTCTGCTGCAAAGAGCTTAATGCTGTATGTAAATAAAAACTGTGTATTCTACAATAATCACTCAAAGTACGAAATCACAACTAGATATTTATTACGGAAACACCTTATTACACATATTCCTACAGGTTCAGAATAGATGCGGAGAGCTGCCAGAGAATCCACGCTGCATGACCTTTCATCCAGGCCTTGAGCCTGTCTGCTTGAACCCCTACTCCTTGCAGAATGCTCTGAATTTTTATCAGGCAGACCATGAGCCATTGGAGGCAAAGGAACAAGCTGTGTAAGTTATACAAAAAAAGTTTTCATTGATTTCTGATGTGTAGTTACATTTGTGTTGATCAAAGTACTGCCAAAAATATTGTGTTGATCAAAGTACTGCCATTGAAATATTGCCAGATGCTGTATAATTGAAGGTTAGTCATGCAATTTTATGAATTCAGTTTCTTTGTTTATAATATATAATGACTGAAAATTCCTTGTAATTAGTCTGATTATTCCCTCAATTGTTGCAATTTGATGAACTTCAAGGGTGAATAAATTAAGTAATGTATTTATTGTTCTTTGATCAATTTGAACTGGTGCACTGTAATGAGAGGTAACACATGTTGTATCTAAGCTAAGGTGCATTTATCACCCTTTTCTCATTTCACCTTTTCTGTTACATCTATTATGTTTAATGTTTTGACTAAATAAAAGTTGTTTTTTGCATGCATTATCTCAGTATGTTTTAGTGTTTTAGATACTCAAGAAAATTACTAGATTGTTGAATAAATTAAAGGACACTAGCTGCGTTTCCATTGCAAATGTGCGCAAAACTTTGTTGATATTCTGTTAATGTGGAAAAACACCGTTTTGCAATTGCAGTGTTTCCATTAAGTAAGAAATGCTATTAAAGTCAGGCATGAATAGGTTTGTTCTTGTGAAAAGTCATTACAAACATGGCGGCAATGGATGTAAACACATAGCGTATTGCTACGATGACACTAGCGCTCATCATCAGAGGAGACGTCGGCGTCTTATCGAGGCTTTCGAGCAACAAGCCCCTTATACTTGGGAGCGGCTACATATGCTGCATTTTTGGGAAATTTTAGTAGGTGAGTTTACTACTTTCTTTTACAACTTTGTTGATTTTACTACTACTTCTACTTTCTGTTGTCTTCTTCGTTGTCTTTTTCGTCAGTAGAAACAGCCGGTTGTTGATCACGTGACTCCAGTGATGCGAAAAAAGTGTTTCCATTGCAGTTTTGCGAAAAACACCAATTTCGATATGGCCAAAAAAAACCACCTCATCCTAGCGCAAAAACATTTTGTTGAAAAATGGTAGTTTTTTTGAAATTGACGTGTTTCCATTGAGCAAATTTATTTTCAAAATTCTAATTTGCGCATTTTCATGGTAAATGGAAACACAGATGAAACGTCTTAAATTGGTTAAAAAACCTTCATTTTTTTATTTTATATATTTTAAAACAACATTCAAAAATAGTGAAATGTGTCTCACCTGACTTGAGAGAAGAGGCTTGTATCATATATGGTAATTAGGCACATTTTTTGCTAATATATTATACAGAAGGTGTTTGCACACTGGCATGATAAATCTCAGTGAAGGACACACCTCATCCCACCGACAAGCTGTGTGGCATATGATTCTTTCAGCTATTCTAATCTGTTTTCTGTTTTCTTTTTTCTACTGCGTAAACTTTTTTGCAGATACTTATGTAGTAGAAAATGTTATTTTAAATAACATTGTTTGGAAATGCTTTATGATTATTGCAATTTTGTAGGAAAACAAAGCTGCAGATATCTACAACAATGGACCAAGAACTGACTGACAACAGATCTTTTTATGTAACTCACCCCTGTTATGAATCACATGATGGATATTTTACAATGACAAAGAACCCTTCTATGTGTGCGCTACTGTATGTTTTCCTTGGCTCTCTGTCTATTATCACAATATGTGGAAACTTTCTTGTTATAACCTCAATAACGTACTTCAAACAGCTTCACACTCCTAACAACTACCTCGTCCTCTCTCTTGCTGTGGCTGACCTGCTTGTCGGAGTTTTAGTCTTTCCTTTCAGCATGACAATCACTGTAACTTCATGCTGGTATCATGAGGATTTGTTTTGCAAAGTGCGAGGCAGCTTTGATGTTACACTGAGCACAGCTTCTATTTTGAACTTGTGTTGTATTTCCATTGACAGATATTATGCAGTGTGTAAGCCTCTGACCTACAAAAGTACAATGAATGATAGGGTTATTAAAGGAATGATTCTGGGATGTTGGGGTGTTGCTTCTGTAATTGGAATTGGTGTCATAATTGCAGGATTTAATCAAGGAAAGTGTGAGGGAAGCTGTTTAATTAATGCTTTAATATCAACAACATTGGCGTGTATTTTCTCTTTCTATATCCCAGTTATAATTATGTTAAGTATTTATTTAAAGATTTTTCTTGTAGCACAGAGTCAAGTTAAGGCTATCCACAATGCAACCTGCCAAAGCAAAACGTTCAGTCCAGTTGTAAGTAAGATGGAAAGAAAAGCTACCAAAACTCTTGCTTTTGTATTAGGAGTCTTTCTCTTGTGTTGGACTCCTTACTTTCTTTGCATCATCTTTCAGCCTTTAACATATGATGCAACACCTATTGCTGCCATTGAAACACTCAACTGGCTAACCTTGTCAAATTCAATGCTAAATCCTTTTATCTATGCTTTCTTTTACAGCTGGTTCAGATCAGCTGTAAGGTTGGTGATTTCTGGAAAGACTTTTGGAGGTGATTTTAAAAACTTTAAGCTTTTTTGATTTGTTTTGTCTTGAATGCTGTTTTACAATTTTGAACTAGAAATGACTACAAAATAAAATGTGTAAATAAATATTTCCTCCAAATGCCGTGTTCTTTTTTTTTTTAGCATAACTACAAGTCATGGCAACAGAATAAAAGTAAAGATAGGAGTTGGAAGAGCTGTTTTAACAGTAACATGATGTCTAAAACAGTTTCAATGTTCAAATTATGACATTCATGAAGTGTCCAAATATGTAAAAAAAAGTTACCTAGATATACTGTAATTTCAGTGTTGTTTTTTCTGCAGGCATGTTAGTCCATGGGCCAGAGGCCAAAATTTCACAATTTGGTCCATTTCAGGGTGGGAAAGCTTCATCGTAATTTTTGAAAAGGTACATGTGTGTAGGTGATATTTTGATATTATAGCTCTTCCAGAGTGGTAGCTAAATCACAGCTATCAGCTAATAAGTTTGATAACCCATTAAGATAACTTGTTTTTGACAGCTAGCTTAGGCTCATGATATGGACATTGGTCAAAGCTGCATAATATTGTGTTTGGTATCATTTTAAAGGGGGCCCTCTGGGCTTTCATTTAAGCCCTTGTTTGTGTCTGTGATCAACACAGGGGACATTAGAACTCTTTAAACCACAAATAATACATTTTTGCGCAGTTTTTGCTCAAATTAAATATTTTCTTTTAGCTCTGTGACACCCAAGGGAATCAGGGACAGAAGAGTCAATTACTGCAATACTCACAAGACTCTAAGGATTCAGGAAATGTATAATATATCCATACTGTCTCTTTGTGGGAGGCGGTTGTGAACCATAAGATGAAGTCACAGGTTTAGGCCAGAATGTTAAATGTTTTATGGTGTGTATGTGCATGTGCCTAGTTTGTTAGATCTAAAAAAGATAATCAGCAAAAGTAGAAATTTACACTTGCATAGACTTTAATATACTTATAAAGTCCTATTTATTAGTCTTTCCATCCTGCGTTACTATTATGTATCTAGAAACATAATGGCGAGCAGGGTGGACTCTGAAAAAAAATCTCCCTCACAGTTAGGGAAATTTTTCACAGTTGCCAATTAGCCTAACAGTCATGCTTTCGGTGTGTGGGATTAAACCGGAGTAAACTCAGACATGAACAGAGAGAACATGCAAACTCTATCCAGAAAGGTCCCTGGCCGGGATTTGATTCGGCAACATCTTTGCTGGGAGGCATCAGCTTTACCAACTGATCCACCTTGCCACCCCCAGCATATTTCACATTACGATATTCAATTTTTGCCAAGAGATGATGGCCTTAGGGATATCAATACCAACTATGGTATGCCAGTTAAAACATTTAGGAACCCCCTCCATAGAATCACCACCTTAATCTAGTGGAGGGGTTTGAGTACCCAGTGATTTTGGGAACTATGTTTTCTGGATCATTGGCCCCTAGCAGAGTCTGCCATGGCAAATAGGTCTCTGATGCGAGGCTGCAAACCACCTCAGAGACTCTGTGGTTCCCAAACCAGACACCCTCCCCATCACAACTGTGCCTTGATATCCAAGCCACATTGCTCCTCTTGAATCTGAGGTTCAAAATTCAATCGGAGCCTCCCTTCCAACACCCTGAAGTAAACTTTCTTTGGGAGGGAGAGAGGTGTGATCCCACAATAGTTAAAAGAAACTCTCCAGTCCTCCTTTTTAAAAATCGGAACCACAACCTCTGTCTGCCACTCCACAGGAGTTGTCCCAGTCCTCCATGCGATGTTGAAGTGACATGTCAACCATGGCAACCCCACAAAATCCAGAGACTTCAGCATCTTGAGGCAAATCTTATCCACACCAGGTTCCACCGAGGAGCATTTTGACTACCTTGGTGGTCTTTGCCATAGTAATGGACTTGTCTTCACCCGAGTCCTTTGACTCTTCCTTCTCAGAGGTGGACATGGTGGATGCATTGAGATCCTCAAAGTGCTCCTTTCACCGATCAACAATATCCTCAGTCTGAGTCAGCAGTTCCCCACCCAAACCATGCAAACCTTGGACAGGGCACACTCTTCTGAGTCATTGAACGATTTGCCAAAACCTCCTCAATGCCAACCAAAAGTTCCCATCCATGTCCTCCCTGAATTCCTCCCATGCCTGAGTTTTTGCACTCGCAGCCACCAAAGCAGCAGTCCATCTGGCCATGCTTTACTGGAGTTAAGATCAGGCCTAAAAAATTTGACCAGATCCAAGCCGGAAGACATTGTGTTTGAACCTGATTCAACGCGACAACTTAACTCTGTTTAGATGCCCGAGCCTGAAGTCCTGACATTTTTTAATAAATGTTTGTATGTTGGTTTAATGTGATCCCCATTTTTTGGGCTTTAAAACCCTAAAAATCTGATCCTTGTATAAAATGCTGTCCCTTATTTCACACAGGCCTCAGCATGTTTCCGCTCTTGTGGAGACAAACACAGCTGTGAGTGGGTTTGTGGCTGTAGAGCAAAGGCTACAAGGCAGCAATGCAAGCATATAATTTCAGCCCAAACTTGACCCGAATTTGTGTTGGGGTTTTGAGTCAGACTTGAACTTAGGCTATAAATCTAAACTACATGCTGTACTCCTCAGCTGCTTCAGGAGTCCTCCGGGAAAGATGAGTCCTGAAGGAATTCTCCTTCAGCTTGATGGCCTCCATCACCAATGGTGTCCACCAATGGGTCCTTTAGTTGCTGCTGTGACAGGCTGGCAGGAAGCCAGCTGCCAGACAGTCAGACGAAAAAGCAGCAGCCAGTGTAGAGCGGCTGTACCCAGACTTACATACACTTCCTCCCCCTGCTTATTGTGACCCAGCTGTAGCATCAAGTTCCCATGGTCCATTTTACAGGACAAGACAATATGTAAACTTGTGGGAAAGCATTTACAGTGGGACAAATCTATGCACGGGGGAATTGGGTATGTGGTAACTGAGGGTCAGGAGGCCACTGCACCTGAATTAGCTGACAATTACCCTATGATAGAAGTTCCAAACCCTACCGCTGCTGGAAACGATGACAGAACCATGTTAGTGTATAGGACTTGGACTACTAAGGACATAAAAAAGGCAGTGGAAGGTGTGACCCCGACCAGGGAAGACATTGCTAAGTTTATAGCAGACATGGAAGGGTTGAGACTCTCATATCATTTAAATGGTACTGAGGTCCAACAAGCTTGGATGAAAGCTTTGGGTGTAGACTGGCACCATGTAGTTGGAGACTGGAACCCTAATGACGGACATGGACAACCACTAAGACATGACAACCGGCACTGAAAGATAGAACAGAAAAACTTGGAGAGCGAGCCACCAAACGTTTCATGCGTAAAGCCAACTACACAGAAATATACAAAGAGAAACAAAAGGATGATGAATCTTTTGAATAGGGATAAGGGAGTACAGCACTATCTTTTTCCATATCTGTATCTGTTCAACCATCTAAATTATCTGTATCTGTACTCGAGAGTGGATGGGGCCTAAACCGGAAGTAGGTGTGGTTTAATTGGAAGTTGGCAGGGATTATATCTGTTCATTGTTTTAAGTCTGAAAATGATATGGATTGATCAGAAGTTGCTACATGCATTATTTGTTTGAATGTTATTCACTGAACAGCTTCAAAAATGAGATTTAAATCAATGTTTTTAATCACAAAAATTAAAAAATAATTCATGTTCTGAGTTCAAAAAAAGCTTGTTCTATAAATAGTTTAAGTGCCTGAATGAATGCAACTCATGCAATAGGAAATTATGAACTACTGGAGTTTGCATGAACAAGAAATGTCACTCAATACCACCATCCATCCATCCATTTTCTTCTGCCTATCTGGGGTCGGGTCGCGGGGGCAGCAGCTTCACAAGGGAGGCCCAGACCTCCCTCTCCCCAGCCACTTCTTCCAGCTCTAACCGGGAACTCCAAGGCGTTCCCAGGCCAGCCGAGAGACATAGTCCCTCCAGCGTGTCCTGGGTCTTCCTCTGGGCCTCCTCCAGGTGGGACTTGCCCGGAATACCTCACCAGGGAGGCGTCCAGGAGGCATCCTTACCAGATGCCCGAGCCACCTCAACTGGCTCCTCTCGACGTGGAGGAGCAGTGGCTCTACTCTGAGTCCCTCCCAGATGTCGAGCTTCTCACCCTATCTCTAAGGGAGAGCCCAGCCACCCTGTGGAGGAAACCCATTTCGGCCGCTTGTATCCGGGACCAYGTTCTTTCGGTCATGACCCAAAGCTCATGACCATAGATGAGGGTAGGAATGTGGATTGACCGGTAAATCGAGAGCTTCGCTTTCTGACTCAGCTCTCTCTTCACCACGACGGACCGGTACAGCACCTGCTTTACATGGGGCCCCCCCTCTGGAGCCAGGCCTGGAGGTGGGGCACGATGGAGAGCGCCTGGTGGCCGGGCTTTCACCCACGGAGCCCGGCCGGGCTCAGCCCGAAGAGGAGACGTGGGTCCCCCTTCCAACGGGCTCACCACATGTAGGAGGGCCAAAGGGGTCGGGTGCAATGTGTAATGGGCGGCGGCAGAAGGAGGGGACCCTGGCGGTCTGATACTCGGCTGCAGAAGCTGGCACTTGGGACGTGGAACACCAGTGTAGACGATGTACTACCTTGAATTGAACTATAAAATGTTTCACACATATTGAGGACGAATATGTATTTTGAATAATTTTTTGCCAAACTGTGTCTGATATGGATTCCTCCAAGTCCATCTCCCACTTGCCCTTCAAAGAATCTAAATTGGAGTCMGAAAATGAGCTGAGCAGAGAATAAACTCTGCTCACAGAGCGTTTTGTTACAGACTTACACATCAAAATCTCATCTATAAGAGAAATTGGGGGGCGCAGAGGAAAACATCCAGAGTTTGACATTACAAAATGTCTCAGTTGTAAATACSTGAAGAACTGTGACTTATGGATGTCAAATTTCTGTGCTAACTGTTCAAATGAGGTGAACTTATTCTTTATATAGAGATCATTCAGAGAGGTTATTCCCTTTAAACTCCAGGTATTGAAAA